TTCTTGTTGCCTTAGACCGTTTTCTTTCCGGACTCCACCTCGTTCCCCCAGGAGCAGGGAGGAAACAGCAGAGGAGTTCAGATGAGTGACTCATGAGGCTTCTAGAAGTATTGCGGCTTATATTCATGGTGATGCTGAACATTTGTCTCTGTCTAGATGTGGGCAACACTTTAGTAAATATTCTAGGTAAATTATATAAAAAATCTGCTTATATGGGGACACGCCTATGCACTTGCAGCTGTAGCTATTATAAGCAATCTTTGTCTTCTGAAGAAATCCATAGTTTAGGTCTCTGTCTTGCATAGCTGATACACAGATTGTTTAAAAAATAATTCATAAGCCTTACTTGCCTTTACATTTTCTCATTTCTTTTACTGGAACCTGACAGAACAATTTCCTTCCTTTCCTAGATCCTTAATTATACAAAATATTAAATGAAACCAGTTGGATTAATCTCAGCCTAGAAAAGACTTGGTAAATGCTGGTCGGCAAGAGAGAAATCTTTATCTGGGCAGGTTTCTTGACACTGAGTGTGCTTCAGTGAGGTTTTCAGTGTCATCAGCAGTGCTGCTACAGTCCTCTGCTCATCAATTCCTAGAGAAAAGGGTAGGTCTTGAGAAAAGGTTGCTATTTTTAGCTGCTTCAGAGTTGATTTTTTTTCTGTCTGATACCAGACATGGCTGCTGTCATCCGTGTTTTAACCTGCATTCTTGCAATATATTCTCTTTATATACACCCATGAAAGACTTTTGAAACTTGATTTACTGAAAAAACAAGTGTTGTTTGAAAATGACAAGGCTTTTTTTTTTATTTGCAAAAAGCTATCATGTCAACACAAAAGCTTTTTTTTTTCTCCAAAGTGCACATCCTCACTATTGTCCACTTGAAAATTCTTTTTATTCCTGCTCCATTGCACTCCTTAAAATTTTAATGTTATGTATGGAGATCTTATTTTGCGAACAGTTAGATATTGCAGAGGCTGTAGATGACCCCTTGAGCCCCAGTAGACATGGCATTCTTTTTTCCTTTTTTTTTTTTTAAGTTAAGCTATTTTTGACTCTTCTTTCCTACTACTTGTTCAGTAAGCTTTCTTATATGAAATATGTGACATTTAATCTGGAAATTTTTGAAGGCTTTGGGCAAGATGGATGACGATGACCTGCTATCTTTATTTTTATTAAGATAAACTGAAAAAAACTTTGAGAGGTGCAATATTCTTTCTTCATACCTTTGTAAAGATCCGTTATGATTCCTAAAGATGATCTCTTCTTCCTTATTGAAAGTTATTAGTTTAGATAATCTGCTGAAGAACTAGAACCTTAGTTTGGTTTACTTCAGTAGAATTGTGAACTTCAGCTTTTGGCTTTTAGACTAGCTGGTAGGTAGCATTAGAAACTTGTATTTTGCAAACGAGAGGATACCTTGGATGATTTTTGATGTTGAAAGAAGAAATGATTAGAGGTGGTGTTTCCATTGAGTTGAAGGCATTACTTTCACTTGCAGGAGGTAGGATGGGGGGGGAAGATTGTTCTTTTAAGTAACCTCCAAGTGCTAGTTCATTGTAAGCAAAAGTTAAATGTTTCTAGAACTGGGTTGTCCTTTGGTTATGGAAGTAATTGCATAAACACATTCCTAGTGTGAGTGGGTTGGGTTTTTTGTCTGCTTGCTTACGAGGTTTAGATTACTATCAAGATCAATATAGTATTGACTCAGTTATGTTGATTCTCTTTCTAATGTAAACTGTGACGTTATTGGCTTTTAACTCTTTGACCGTAGTAATGTCACCATTCAAAAATACATCATGTAATGCAAGATATAATGTTAACTTGCTTTTGGAAATAGTTTATATTAATTTTACTTTAGTTATAGGTAAGATTTCTAGAATAATTATGAGAGTAGATTTAAATATTCTGAATTTTTGCAACTAATTGCGTGTGAAGTCCTATACTTTTTTATGGTAACTGTTGAATTTCTACCTAATTTTTTTAAGTGCACTTTAGACCGCTTCCACATAATTTGAACTAAACTGGGCATTATCTCTGTCTAGCAACATGTCCAGTTGGTAATTTCGAAGAAAACGTATGGAACTCTAAGCATTTGCTTACTATATAAACTTATGGGCTCTCAAAGTGTTCATTTTTACTGGTCTTAACTAGAATACCATTATCTTACAAGCACATGTGTGTAGTATGAAAACTAAATATGCATTTTGTCAGCGTACTTTGTAGACTTAAAATCTGGGGGTTTAAATTTTTTTTTCTAAACTAACGTTTATTTGTACGGTGTCTATTCTTTAGCATGCTTTTCATGAATAAAAAGCAAAATATTTTCCAGGTTGTGGTTGCTGCGTTCATAAGACAGGAGGGTGTTGCAGCAGATGAGAGAATGTTGAGAATGTCTGTGTTTTTATTTAAACTGGTTTTGCTGTGGCCAGGAGGAGCGTGAGTTGTCATATGTATTCATGTGAATCTGTGTTGTTTCTTTTTAATAAATGGTTGAAATGCTAGAACAAAGCAGCGTAGTGTTCAAACCATTCCTTTTTCATAATTAAAACCAAGAGTATGACATTCCAAAACAACTGGACTCTATATAACGAACAGAATATATTTATAAAGATGTTTGTCAGTCAAATGCTATAAATGAGAACATTTGGGAAATTTGAATCATATCTGATATTGCGCGGTGGATGAGAAACTGGTGCTACGTTCTGCCAGGGCAGCAGTCCTCTTTCGACCTTACAGAAACCTTCACCCGCATCAAGTGTCAGTAGGTGTGTGTGAAGCAATTTGTGCATGTTCCAGTGAAGCTACCGTGGGTGTTATTTCAAAAAAAAGGCGATGTGAGCTTTTCGTGTCTGTGGCCCCCCAAGGTGGGAATTCATGTCTGTTAATGTCCAAACCATTTAATAGATCACTTAAACCTGTCTTCCTCTCTGCCTGCATTCGAGTGTGAAACCTGAGTACAAATGCTTTATCGTAGAGCTAGAAAAGTCTTCACCATTGACAAATTCTGATCTTGCCAGGCACTGGAGGCCATAAGAAGTGCCCTCATGCCGCACAGCGGGAACAAAAATCCTCCCTCTGTTCCTGTAACACTGACGCTTATCCAGCAAGTTTGACAGAAGCCATTTACATAATACACCCACAAACCAGCACCATTTAGGCAGATCCAAGCTGAAATATTTATTCAGCACTTTGTAGGACTTTATATTCTATCTTTATTATTATGATATACTATTATATTTTTATAATATTAATATTAATATTACATTTACATTAGACTCTAATTTTTTTCAAGCTGAGGTTATGTGTGTCTACTAGTTGCAAAAAACCCCATGGGTTTGGTCATTAATAGCTGGCTTTTTAATAGTCAACCGATGAATTTAAGAGAGATTTTACTTGCATTTAATTTTCAGAGTACTGATGTGGGGAATGTCTTGTCTTCAATGAGTTAAGCGAGGACTGTTTTGCTGCTCCGACCAGTGCCATATGAAAGCAGTTAAAATGCTGGAATTGTTTACTGCCTAAATAGTTGTTAGTCAGCAGAGCCAGTACACCAGATTTCTTTGCGGCTTTTAGTGGAAAATATTAAACAGTCGCTCTTTCTTCAGTTATAGGATTTTTACGTTTTCAGCTGTGTTAGTCACAGAACTGGCACAGACGTAACTGCGAAG